TTCCCTGGCTCCCACCTCTCTCAAGCAGCTGCAGGGCTCCAAATGACACAGCTCTGTTTTAATCATCAGCTTTCCGATGCAACTTTTAAACAATAAAACAACATCAGAGCCTCCCAGCCCTTAAATAGCATCCAGACAAGGAAGAGCTGAATTTTAAAACATCTATTTTAAGTAGGTAAAATGTATTTTTCAAACAATTTTTCAGATCTTTTAAGAAACCAGCAGCAATGCTATTAATTTTGGACTCTCTCTATGATACCATCCAACTGAGTTTGAAAATTTTATCTTTAGCTCTTCCTTGATTATAATGGACAGCTAAGAGGAATGATAGTCGAGTCATCTTATGCAGAGGACAGAAGACACATTGTATCTCAATGAGGTGCATGCCTGTGAGGAAGGACGAGATTTCCAGTGGCTCCATCTATGCCACACCATACACCCCTGTCCTGTTGATCAGGGCTGACCAAAAGAATGTGTTTGGTTTCACATAGAAATAATGATGGAATTTGTTTCAATAAAATATCAACGAAAAAGGGTTTCATTTTAGTGAAAATTTCATTTTCTGTTTTAAGTTTCTGTCGTTATTCTAGGCTGGTCTAAGTGATTAATTTCATTTATTTATTTATTAAATATGTGATATTTCCCCTAGTCTCTAGTTTATGTAGTATTCCCTCAAAGAAAGAGCTACTTCTGCTGCCTTAGTTTAGGTTTGCAGTTGATTCATGGTTCAGGTAACACCACCATGCAGAGCTGGAGGAACAGCACTTGCAGGACGCCCACTCAGACACTAAACAGCATTGTCCAAAGGATTAGTGCTCCCTCAGTCACCAAATAAGCTCCGTTGCCCTAGCTGATAAGAAAGTGCAGAAGAGTTTGTGAAAGGCATCCTGCCTAATCACATTGTATTCTCATATGCCCACACATTGGGAAAAATGGTTTTATAAATGTCTGGGCTCATGTTTCAGAAGGAGAAATTGGTTCATTTTGCCTATGTCACTGTGATGCTTTATTTAAAAGTTAGTGTTGTATCAATGATCAAAACAGTAATATCATGTATGTCATTTTCAATATGTTTTGGAAAAATTGGATAAAGGGAATTACATTTTCTACGACTGTATCTGTCTAATATCTGACTGAAAAATCTTGGCAAATACTTTCACTTTCCTGAAATCTCTACCATCTGACTGGAAGACAAAATTAATGCCAAAATAATTTATTTTTTGTGATATTTCAAATTTGTCTGGAAATGAAGTGCTACAACTATTGGGACAAGAATGATATCGTTTTCTGTAAAGCTCCAGGATTCCTCTTGTGTTACACAAATACGATCAATAAGAGATCTTGTGCTTACGAAATTTCCAAAGAAACTTTAATCATGGCTTTTTACTCAAACTGAACGTTTTAGAAGCTCATTCATCATTAAAACTGGACTAAATTAAAAAGAGGAAAAAAATTATCCTCACCTTATTTGATAGCCTAGTGTTATGATCAATAAAAGACTGCTTTGTGTCAATAGAAAAATCTCAAAGAAAGCTTCATTAGAAGACAAGAATAAAATAAAGTACGCATAAAAAAATTTTTAAAGGAAAGAAAACATCTAAAAGAAAAAAACTTAGTGATCTGAGACTTAAAGAAACACCTGGTAAGGAGAGCACAGGCAAAAAGATAAAGATTATTTTCATAACAAAACATTTGAAACATATACCTCTTTTTTTGTCATTCTCCAAGCTGTATCTGAATCACACCAGGGACAAATCCAAGGCCTTAATTCATGTGTAATATCCAAAGGTAACCTGCACCTTAAAGAAAGCTCTGCAAAGAGAAGTCAAACAGTTAGGCAATGCTCCAGCAAAGCACTTAAGCATCTGTTACTAAAAGGTCCCGATGCAGTGCTAAAAAATTTACAGGACAACTCAAGAAGGGCAGTGCAAAAGTGACTAAAGGAAATAGAAATTAAGCTTAAGGGTTTTCTTAACTACTTTGGTAAATTGGGAATTTATACATTCCCAGCCTCAGGGAAAGAAAGTTTATTTGGTATTGTAGACTAATTTGTTGAAAGTTTCCTCCCTCTAATCTCTTTCTATTTTTAAATCAGAATACCTCCAGGGAAGAGTTTATTTGACAAGACTCCAGCACCTTCTGAGGGGAAGCAAAGGAAAAATTACTGCAGATGTCAGAAGGAGAGCACCAAGTCCATATCCGTGGTAAACACACTGAATGCCTTTCAGACTCCTTTCTCTCAGTCCTCTGGTTGCCGTTACGACCATGTGGATTTCACCTCGGCAATCCCCTATCTAGATGTTACACCAGAGTTTGTCACTCACTCAGAGTCTACTTCAAGAAAAGAGGAGAAACTGCCGACCAAGTCTTTTGATCAAAGATATCTGCCTAAATCAGTACAAAAACGAGGTAGCCCTGAGGAGCAACTAAAACCCCTCACACACAATGTTTCCATGAAAAACAACAGTTCCATTAACTCTACCAGACCAGCAGAAGAACTAAGGAGAGCAAAAAGGCAAGACAACTATTATGACTACTCATCCTTTCACCCACTGCATGGCCCAAACCAGAGGGACTCTGAGAGCTTTGCGTATTTTTTCCCCGAGGATTACTTTGAAGGGATTCGGATGAAACTTCCACTGGGATGGCCCACTCCCAGTGGTTTAACGGCTGCCACAGCTTGGCAGATTTGCCACCAAACTCTTGCAAATTCCACCATTGGCTTAGCATGTAAAGGTCTCCTTGGAAAACAGATGGATGAGGCAATCAAAATATGCCTTTTAGATCTGCAGCTCAAGGATGATGTGGCCTGGGTGAGGGCATTGATAGCCCTTTTGGAAAATGAATGCGAAAGAAGAGTGCTAGGAAACAGAAACAGAGTGTTTCATGTAGGAAACCAGCCATCTGCTACCCTCACCGCTCTCCGGTGTCCTGCTTTCTGTAACAGTAACGGACAATGTACTGAACGGGGCTGCCAGTGCTTTGAAGACCACCGTTCCTATGATTGTAGCATTGCCAAAAGTAAGTAAAAAATTCCGTTTGTTCCTACCCTACCCATCTTTCCATGGTATCAGAGTTATTAGGTAGAACATCTGCACAGAGTTGTTTGCTCTTCAAACAGTGCTACCAGTAAGTTATTTGATGAATTAGTAATCAGTTTTTGACCTTGAAAAGCCGATCAAAATATCTGGTTGGCTGGTCCTTCACTTTTTCGCCTCAGTAACTTTTTAAAAATGGATTTTACAAGCCCCTTAGCAAATTGGTTTTGCAGAAGTGATTTTCTTTACATCTGATCTATCACAAGCATGCTGACAAGTAAGCCTCTGACAAAAAAGAGGGTCCTGTTCACCTTGTGGTCAATATTCATGTTAACACTGTATAGATACTTCTCCCCCCCCCCCAATCAACAGAGGATAAAATTTGAAAATTCATTTAAAACACTGTATTAGTAATAAAAAGAAAAACACACACCAAAATTAAAAGTGACAAAATGAACAGGTAACATTGTCAAAACCATAAAATAGCTACAGGACATGTTCAAACCTGCAGACTTGATCCTGCAAATATTCATGAATTACATTTACACAGGAGACTATCCCACTAGGCTTATTTCTTCTTTACAGTTCAGCCCCTCAATGGATAAATCCAAGCGCAATGTGAGTACTGACAGTGCCTGAAACTAAGCAGACACATAAGTGTTAGCATTAATTTCAAAACGCCAGCCCTGCCTCAGCAAACCACATAAGCTTATGCTTGAAGTTGCAAAAAGGTACTTAAGGCTCAGCCATACAGTTGAGTTCCTGCAGCTTAGGAAGTAGCAGTATTTTAGTTAGGCTGAAATGACAAGGTATGTCCTCTTAACCCATCCTAAATGTGGGGGGAAGCCTTTTTCTACAATGCTTAGTCTAATGGACAATATTCTGTATTAAAGACAGGTCAAGCTCATATCTAGAGTCAGTTGCCATGGCTTAGCTGAGACACTTGAATCTCCATCCAGCCCCAGGAGCTCAGCAGCACATCTGATACCCCAATACTTTTATTACCCAGGATAAGATTACTCACCTGCTTCACGACAAACATGTCTTCAGTGCACTAATTTAAAGTGGTTAAATGACATTTCTCTTTTGTTAATGGCAGATTAAAATTTGCACGATAATTTCCTAAATTTGGAGGTATTCATTCTCCTTCGCACACAGAACAACTGACACCAGCGACTGAAAAGCCAGCTGAGCAATTTTGCAGTAAATGTCCAATATACAAGTCAATGTTTAACTTCATTTCTCTGTGATACGGTTGGGTTACGGGGGGTTACTTAGGCCAGATTTTTAATTTTATTTTATTTTGCTATGGTTGAAATCCCTCAGATTAGAGGAAAAAACTTCAATATGACCTTTCAAGTAAAAGTTAATGGCACCTTGTCTTCTTGCTGTGACATCAAATATAAGCAAGGACAGAGTACAGGGCATGGCCTGAGATTGCACAAGGAGGTGAGAAGTGGAAAACAAACATGCTTTAGCTGTGGCAAACACACTGTAAGCCATCACTACTCCCCGTCTGACTGTTGCGTCTGTCTCTCACTGCCTATGCTTCACTGTTCTCCATTTGAGAAAACTGTGGTAGTGGTCTTTGCTTCAAATCACTTCTCATGCATTTTCCTCAACATTTCAAGGGCAATATTTGATTTAAAAAGTGAAGGGCCCTCGTTCTCTCTATCACACTGTGTACAACCCACAGTATCTTAGCTGCAGCTAAGGACTTGTAATTTTATTTAACTAATACCTGTAAAATGTTTTCTGTGGATGTAAAATTTAAGTACAAATATTAATTTTTATTTAAGAAAACCTACAGAACATAGCAATAACTACTACTCAGGGAGAAGAATGCTTTCTAGATAAGTAAAGCGAGCTCAGAAGACTAAACATTAAACAAAAATGTGGTAGAAAGTGTCATTTTAGCTACCAGTATCTATTTTTCTCTTGAGGAACAGGTAGTGACATAACTCTGTGAAGTGCAGAGTATTTCAAGGGTGTACCTGACCTGGGCAACATTTACCATTCGTTTTTTCTTTTTTCCACCACACTAGTGAGATTTTATGCTTCTCTCTCATCAACAGCTGCCATTCCCAAATGTACAATACAACAGTCACTCATGGCATATTCCACAGCTTGAACATACACTGGGAACCTACACTTTAGTACAGAAGAGAAATTAAAACAACAAAAAAATCAAAATGTCACAACAGACTGTTCTTAAGGCTAGTGGAATTATCTTTAATCACTAAAATCTTCTCTGCAAAATACAGATTTATTTTTTTCCTGTTTGTAATCTACCTACCAGCTTGTATAGGGCAAAACCTTGAACATGCAGCATGAGTCACACAGATAGACCCCTTAGCCCTCAGAAACCTCTGAGCTGTTTAATGCATGACAATTAGGGTCTTAAAGAGGGACTGCTGTTTCCCAAATATCCTTCTAGACAATAAAACTACTTAGGAATTCATTCTGTGTTCCACATCCTAAAGAAAACCTTTATTCTAAATATTTTATAATCTGTTTTTCATTAAAATGGTAAAAAAGCAGCTGCTTAAGTAAATATAATTTAAAAAAAACTTTGCCCACAGATTACTGAAAAAAAAATCCATTAACATTTTTGAGAGTTTGTTTGTTAAAGAAGTCAGCTTCTTTAATATAAAAATCTGGAGTTTGTTTGTCTGAATTTAGTTTGGTTTGTTGCTTTGTTCTCCCAGAATGAAGATACTAAAAATAAAGATGATCCATTTCCTGATCAAGTTTACCTAAGACATCACAGTATTTACAAATGGGAACAACAGTGATCAGGAGAATTGCAAATACCTTCTGTAACACAGGTTTCACAGATACAAAACACTTTGTAAAATAGACCTTTGAATCTGTGTGTTGCCATCACTTGACTCTTCCAAAAGCACGATGGCAGAAGAGTCCTCAGCTTCTGCATGTGATGGGTGAGTGGAAGGCAGCATGAATTTCTCCTGATGTCGGTGGTAGTGGTCTGAAGATTGTCATCATATCAGTCCTTTTAAAGAGAAGGGCTTCATTTAGTTTGGAGAACATAAAATTAAATAAATAGCTTCTCAGTGTGTTCACTGGATATTCAGGTTAGAAAAGCATTCAAAATGGTATTATGTTCTTACTTGAGGGTCAGTAATTTAATCTGGATAATTTGGTTTTCATTCTTGATACCAGAGATAAAAGCACGATTGGGAAGGAAGTAATTAAGAGCAGGACGTGTCTTCTAGTATGTGTTCCTCCTTCTCTCTCGCATATCTTTGTACCAACTAACACTAGAATGGCAGAACAGCAATATGTGCAAGGAGGGCTACAGCTCTGGCAGCCACACCAGAGCCCAGCAGGGAGCAGGGCTGGCCATTGGGTTAGTCCATCCCTTGTACTACTGAGATGGAGAAGCATTTAAAGTTCAAGCTGACTTTGAGCAAAATTGGGAAAAAAAATATTTCAGAAAAATTAAAATAAGCTCAAGATAACAGCCTACACGCTTAATTTGCAGAACATTCTCCTTTGTCTTTGGCATAACGATAGAGAAGTTAAAGGACTTAGTAAGGGAAGTTGGTTTCAGCATTAACTACAGAGAGTGAAAAGTACTGCCACAGTCTAGAGTGAATAAATGTGATGAACTGCAATGAGCTCCACGTATTACAGATTATTTACTAATTCATTTATGAGTGATCTAGAATATTCTTTCTCTATATACTAAAGTACAGAAACTATATACCTATAAAAACATCTGATCTTGCAAATGCAATGTAAAGCAGATATTTACATCCAGCTAGAGACTGGATCTCCTACAAAGAGAAATAAAATCTTAGGTCTGGCTTGTCAATCATTCCAACATTATAATACTTAGAAAAGGTCAGCTAGTTAATTTGGTACAGACAAGCCAGATAAGTAGAAGATGAGCTTCACCTTTAGCTGTTCTTGAATTTTGAATTTTATTCACAACATTTTTGTAGAATATTTGCTTGTTTTTACGTTTCATAGGCAGAAATGTTCCAGGGAAAAGTACCACAGTATCACACAATAAAGATGCGCTTCTGAAGTCTTTTTGACATCACTAAAGCCAAGATTTCACACCAGAAAAGGCTATTAGAGATACAAAATTAAAATAAATCTCAGAAATAAAGGTAGGTGTTTCAACAGGAGCAGTTTGAGCCCCTGGCTGGCAGCTCCGACATCCTGACCTGGCTGGCAGTGCAGGCAATCAGCGCAGTGCAAGCGGAAGCAGGATAAGCCTTTGGGCTTTTGTACTCATAAGCAGAGGTTCTGTAGTAAGGAAAGAAAAGGAGGAGAAATTAAGAACTGAATTAGGTTTCTGCAGGACATAAAAAAGTGCTGCCTCTTTCACTTTCTTTGAAAAAGGCAGGACCTAAGATAGAGAAGAATGTACGTTGATTTTGGAAATGCTAACTCTGAAATGCCATTATGTTAGGAAAAAGTTACTTTCTAGTAGAAGTTACATGAGTAATGAAGAAGGCAACTCCTTTTGCTGGCCATATATTTTCCCATTAGCTCCAAAACAAATCTCTATCTAATTTTCTTAGGCTGGAATTACAGATGTGAATTAAAACTCACCCAAGATCAAAGAGGACATCAACATAATTCAAATTCCTTTTCCAAGGTCATCCAACCTCAGCTACACTGCCAATACATAGCAATGTATTCGGCCATGGGTTTCGACCAGCACACACACACACACACACACACACACACACACACACACAGACGCATATGAAAAGATGTCCAAGCAGTATTTTTAGGGATCAGACTACAACCTGTAACATATTTGGAATAATTTTAATTGAAAACATATAGAAACAGAGAGGATGCAAAGTGTGGCTTGCAGACAGGCTTGCTTCTCGGCTCTCCCTGACTCCAACAGGAGCCATCCAGGTGGCCAGAGCTATAATTATCCTCACATGAAAACTGCAATTTGGAGTTGAAAGGCACCTCTGAAATCTGGCAATGCTC